TTGACCTTTTCGTTTAATAAAAGCTTAAGAGTAAATTATTTGGAAATAGACAATAAAGCCGATGATTTGCTTACCGGATACAATTGGTAAGTCTCTTACTATAGTATGATACATCCAAATTAACCAAACAGGACCTTTGTATACTGAGGGTAAAAAAATGTGGGATTATCTATATGTTTACTTTTATTCATATTTAGCTCAGTAGGGTGGGTGTAATTATATCAATCATACTTTAGTCTGGTTTATTTTTTGACTAATTAACTGTTACAATAAATTTATTGTTACAATAAAATTAAACTGTTTTTTTTTCTTGTTTGACAGACGATAGGAAGAACAAGTATTCTTAAGGAAAATATGATGCACTGTTTGCTGTGGAATGGATAATCAAAATTATCAAACAGTTAAACTGAGCATAAATTAGAGAAACGTTGTGAAATGTAGCTAAAATATATAACTGGTTCATTTTATAATAAATTAAAATATATATAGTATACAGGCATTTAATACATGTACGTCATCATCGTAAGTCATGTGTAATGTATTCATAACATACAGTCAATTCATAATTTCAAAATCACATATATTTAAATTCTGTTAATGATATTTTGAACATTTTCAGTTATTTAATTCAATATGGTCGACTCGACGATTAATGAATTAAATGAACTATAAGAAGCGTACTTTTATACCCTTTAAGAAATAAATTTTTATAACTACAAAATAAAACCACAAAACGAAACGATGAATATTGCATATTGCGCGGAAAGCTACTCTTTGCTGTAAATGGTAATAGTTCTGCTCCGTGCTCCGAATTTGTTTCCGGTATTTCATAAAATAAATATTGCAGTGCTCATTATTTAATACTGTAAAGATTTATATTATATCTTAAGAGGACATACTAAACAAACGATGGCAGGAAAAAAAATAACAATCAAAGAAAATGCTGACCAGAAGAAATAAGATATGAATTAGGCATAAGTCGAATGTGAGCTCTATCGTTAAATATTAGTAAGGAAAAAAGACAACATGACACTACCCAATAAGCACAATCAGTTACAAAAAAAAATGAAAAGAAAAGAAATTGATTAAACTTAATTATAATTATGATAACAAAAGCACAAACATAATCATCCTAATTATAAAACTGTGAATATTGTTATATATTTGAAATTTATTCAATATTGTTTGATTGCAGGGAATTTTTACAACCTGTTATGTGGCTTACTTTATCAAACAATGGTAAAACGCTGAATTAATTTCCCTCCGCATTGAATTCAACATACAAAGAGTGCCTTTCTGATATTTAAGTGGAGCTAGTGAATTTCTTGGGGCCAAAGAGTTCAAAATCATCATAGTTTTTTTTCAACGTACTGAAAGATAGATGTTGTAAGTTTGTTATCAGTCACGAACAAGTCACGGCTTTATAGATGTTATTAATGGAATATTTGAAATGCTCCCGAAGCATCAATCAGCAGTGATGCATTGCTCTTTGCTGTCGTCTGCTATACAAATAGTCCGCACATGCATGCAAACATTTCCAGAAGACACTTGAAGCAGTTAGATTGCTGTGTGAAACCATTAGAACCACGTCACGACAAAACCAACAAAGTGCGTTTGTGACCAGCATGGATCCAGACCAGCCTGCGCATCCGCACAGTCTAATCAGGATCCATGCTGTTCGCTATCTGTTTCTGTACTTGTAATATGGTTGGTAAGAGAACAGCATGGATCCTGATTAGACTGCGCGGATTCGCAGACTGGTATGGATCCATGCTGGTCGCAAACGCACTATGTTGGTTTTGTCATGACGCGGCCCATTTTAGTTTAAGATCTTATTACATTAATCTATTGAAATATATTAAACAATAACTTCAAATGTTTTAACAATTGCTCCAAATGAGCAGAATGTCTCAAATTTACATAAAATCATGTAGTTACATGAAAATGAATATCTAAAAACGAAATGACTGCAATGTTATGGTTTTTTTAATGATAATTTTATTCCCCTCGTCATAGATATATGGGGATCGAGAGCATCCCCCTCCATCCCTTACAAAGATTTCATTTATCATATATATATATTATATAAATCTTCAGTTATGTGTTGACTTATTAATTAACAATTATTGCCATTGAGCAATTTTTGACAAAAAAAAGATTGAGATTCTGCCAAATTTGACATAAAGTTTAAAGAAGCATACAATACGAATTAACAGATATATCAATATTTTGTTATAATGTAAATAGTTAATCTAAAGCACATAATAACTAATTACACTCATGTTAAAAAGGTAACAAAGACTAGTACCTTCATCTACGTTAATCCGCCAAAGGAAGGAATGTAGAATAGAGTTTGCAAAGTAAATGAAAATGAAGTAATTTAAGTTCATTTATATCTGTTTAAAAGAGGGAATGCGTAACCTTAAGGGATTTAAAACTAAAGTTCATATGGATTTAGTTCATACATCTATACTTAAACGATTAGGAACGACGAATGTTAAATGTCACACGTTCATTCAACTGTTGTTTTTTTTGTCATTTAGATGTACATCTTCGTTCATGCGAAAACTAAAATTCGACACGAGAAAAGGTTCGTGAGCTCTTAATTTAGTTCACTGCTATTTGTCTGTGGAAACTTAGTAATGTAATGTCAGTAATACAACTCGATTTTTCTTTTATCTATTTTAGTTTTAAATCGTGTCAGCAGCCTAATGTCATTTACTATGTAAGTTGAATTATGATATAATAGTATGTCGGCATTTGGAAATCTTCATCAAATATATGACAAAATTAACCTGAACAGTAATAGACTTGTAAATGGACATTTCTTGGAATTGTTGTGTGTTACTACATGAAAGTCCATCAACCATCAAAATCTAACAGTCTACAATATTTCCTTCACTGGACGCATTAAACGACACCTAAGTCTCTAATATTCATTTTTTAAAGAAGCCCCGCCTTAAATTTTACAAGCATTTTATTACTTCAATACTCTATAATCCGCTAAGCCTTGCTAAGGTCAAATCAGGCTATGGTCATAATTATATATCATTATTAGATTATACAAAATGTATATACATATAGTACTTTTTAATTGTTAAAAAGCATATACATTGAACAAGATGCAGTGATTATAACGCAAATTGCGTTGGTTGAACTCGGACTAACTTCTGATAAAACAAATGATGAGTGGAAGTTGATGGGGTGTTCCAAATTGTGACCAGAGTATGTCTTCTTAAATAGATTTATAGTGGCATGCAATAACTGTGTTCAACGGATTTATAAGAATGCATAAAAGGGAATAATTATATTGCATAAAAGGTAACTTGTTATCATGTTAACAAATTTGAAAGGAGATATATGGTCATCCTTTCTACAAACGTGTTTATTCATTTTTCTTTTTTTATTCAAATGATAACCTGACTTTGGCTTTTTTTGTTGCTGTTTTTTGTTGTTTTTTTGTTGATGTGTTTTGTTGTTGTTGTTTTTGTTGTTGTTCTTTTGTTGTTCATGATGATGAGAATAAATTGGATCAATACTTAATTTAAATGACTTTTAATAAGAAGAATGATAATATTTTGTACATTTTATTTTATCCTATTTATTTTTTATTTATGCAGAGCATATCTGCGCTAAAACCATGACCTATATTCACCACTGCACCTCCCAACCAACCAACCAACCAACTAACAAAAGACCTGCCGGACCTATACAAAAATACTTACTTTGGTTACTATTGAAACATAGTGCAAAATGATGTTCAGATGATTGCCATAGTAAACAATAAAGTGAAATAATTCAAAACAGTAAAAGTATTCAAGGACTGTGATATAAACATGTTTCTGGAAATATCTTTTAATGTAATACTCATATGATATAGCATAATACAATTTCAAAAACAATGACTATACAAACACATGTAATATGTCCAGCATTTTAATTCTCATCGTTAGCCGCAACATAAAGTTCAAGGTTGTTACGGCGATGAACCTCTTGCACCTAAGATACAATCCCTAATCGCAATTTGTTTGTAAAAAGGTATATATCAATGAACCTTGATCTTATGAAATAGAGTGAAATAGAATATCTTAAGAAAGCCCCCAAAAACTTCAAAATTGAACATGTTACAGGCTCGGTGGAATTGAGCCGGTTCATGAACGGTAATTGCAAGTTACTGTCCACGCAACTTAATTAGCACCGGTTTAAAATTTAGTGAGAATGGTAGCTTCTTCTGTGAATTCTTGCAATATACCGGTTCATTGATTAGAGCATGTTCGCAAATGTTTATGAGAAACTAGCTCAGATTTTATTTAATTAAAGTCTTTATTTTGCTAAAGTATGTAAAACACTTGCTCAACTTTTAATTAGAAAGTTATTTCAATATTAAACTGCTATAACTAATTGGACTTCTATGAAATGAAATGCTTTAGACCTTTCCGTTGGAATATACACGTTATTTTCTATGGACAGTATTAAAAGATTCAAAGGCTTACTTACGTATAGAAAAGTATCAAAGAGAAAAACAGTTTGGAAGCACATTTTTCTTTATTATAGTCATAATAATAGCTATTGATACAAGGCAGAACTATTATCATGGCATCATCTTGCAACGTGTGTCGTTATGTCGCTTTGGGGCGTGTGTTGATTTAAAATGAATACAACAAAAACGTTTAATGGCAGTTACCTAAAATCTCACTAACGCTGTTTCTTGCTGAAACAATTTCGTAATTGTTACGATAAACAATAAAACAATGACTAATCTTTTGGTAATAAGGACAGAGATGATACTTCTATACTATAAAATATTTGTTTTGTAAAATAATTTACTAAAATTGTTGTTTGTTTGTTTTTTTTTTGTTTTTTTTGTAAATACTTATTTAATCTTAAACTTAGGCACATTGAGATCTTTTCCTCTCAAGTCGGGGATAAATCGCTCATCGATTACTTTCCATTTAGTAAAGTATAGTTTGAAGCAGCGTTAAAACATAGAAATTTTGCTCTTGATTTTTACAATATATTAAATTTGTACAAAGGTTGCTTTTTCCTATGTTCGGTAATTTCTGCGTTAATACCGTATACTACGAGAAACTGACCACTTTTCTTTGGTGTGAGAATTTCTCCTTCCCATGTATAGTCGTCTACCTTTTCTAGTAAAAGATCTTCCACAAACACCTCCCCGAGGAATGGGGATGCAATCCTAAATTTCACTGGAGAATTTGGTTCAAGGTCACGATACGTAGGTTCAAGGACGCACACTTGGAATGTCTGGGCAGCAGTGTATGAGAATGGAAAGTTTTTGACCATATTGTTCATATCTGTACATTTAAGTATGTATTTAACCAGGCCTGGAACTCGGGGTGTTGTGTCTCCTTCCCTCTTCCCGGCTAGTTTTAATATGTAGACTCCTGGGGATGGTGGACGTACAAGTATTTTGTAATGATCCTCAGAATCACGGAATGTTGCAACGTATGCATCCATATTCACCTTATCAGAGGTATCTAACGTTGCCGTGATTTGCATGATTGGAACAATCGTCGTTTTAACTATGATGTGCAGTTCTTTTCTAAAAACTATTATTGGTTCACGATGTGAGAATTCAACTCCCCAATCTTTGGTTACGGCTTCTACTTTAACGGTTTTGTTATACTCTTCCAAAGTGACTGGCCTTTTTAGTAGCTGCCACATCTCACTAGACATTGGGTCATTGCGCAGATACGGAAAGTGATCGTTGATAAAGTTTTCTGGGTCCGTCATGAACCAGAACTCTTCGTACCGTCTGTGATATATCCCCTCGTCGTCTTCAAAGCCAGCACCCCAGGCACAATCCACAAAACGCCAATCATGGCCGACATATACGGCATTCCAAGCATGCTCTGGTTCATCGATCTGAGTAAAAGGTTCTTCAGGATCGTATCTTGAATCTTTTACGTAACCCTTTAACTTCTTCACAGGAATTGATGAGGACCTGAAAGTATAGTAAATACATCTGAAGTTCACGTCGATAGAATAACGATGTCATATAGATATAACCTTCTTATTTTCTTGTTATTTCTTATTAGCTTTACAATGATTTTTTTCCGTGGACTTTACAATGATTTTAGGGTACGGGGTACAGGGTTAAAACAAAACTACAAAAAAGTCTGTAAGATCAACAGACATTACGTTTGCTTTGGAAATTTTTATAGAAATCGAAAATGAATACGCAATAAAAATGAATAGTTAAAACGGACATTGTGTAAAAGTATTAAGTTCACGTGTTATTAATAAATTAAATAAAGTGAAAACAAGCTTTTATAAGATCCAAAGAAAATGATCAAATCTACGGAAAAGGAAAATAGAATGTAAAACATAATAAAAGTAATTATAATACGGTACCATCTGCATTATAATGATAAAAGATCATTCACTGTTATCTACCTTTAACCCTAGATATATGACTACAGAATCTTCTAAATAGGCTATCCCTTTTACCAATAAGGTTAATATATATTCTAGACACAGTGTGTTTTTCTCACCTGCACAGAGATGAAAACAGATTGGCATATCCCTCTGAGGTGGAGGCAACTCCGTGCCTAAGTACAGTATTGGGATCAGTAGGGCTTTCTCTTTTTGGATAATGATACGCTTTATCATATCTGAAACATTCAATATTTGCAAATATAACATTCTTGATTAGCATTGATATATGACTTTTCTTGCCTGGCCGTTAATATATGCCTTATTCTACTTGAAAGATTATAGGTATGCTTTTAATTTATGATAGTTAAAAAAAATACTTTGCTCAAATTTGATGTTTGAAAATATTGAAAACTTCTACATATCCTCTTTGTAAATATAAAATAATCGTGATTCTGCTGCATTCAAAGTACATATGTTGTGTTTTAAACACTATACACTATAAGTGTATACTACAACATGAATATATAGTGTTATTAAAAACATTGGCAGTCTTTTAAAGAAAAGACCAACTTCTCTTGGCCTTTAATAGGGCATGCAGCTTTAAATACGAAATTTGAACACTTTTTAATTGAATTAAAACATTCAGTAAGGATTTTATGGATTTCAATAAATTTCTGTGATAAGAATATTTTATTCAAAGATGAGCATAGTATATCTTTAACCTTATATTCAAACACATATGATTTTCTTAATATCTGGACGTTTTGAAAATAATTTCTTTACCGCACTTGAATGTATACCCATTCATAACTCGATATCAAGATACATTCTTTATCATCCAAATTGAAAGATACTTGGTCAAACCGGACAAATATGGTTACATTAAACAATGTTCTACTTTAATGTATAGTACATAATGTTGTAATCGGTTTAAGTCAGTTGATATATTTAAGTACTCTTTTATAATGAGTGTAATGGATTGAATTCTTCTCTGAAGTTAAGGTATTAAAACATAAATTGTTTGCATATTATCACCATCCTCAAGATCAAAATGTTTACCAATTGCACAACAGATTCCCGGATATTGAATGTTGGTGTCTTTAATAAACACTATATAGAGAATATACGCAACTTGATGATAAAATAAAATACAGTAATTCAAATAGCCACCTAACAATCAAAGCAAATTTCCACCCCTTAAGTGAAGTATTAATATCAGTAAGTTATTTGTTTGTCATTATATTTTTCTATCTTATCAATGTTTTGCGTCACTATGGGCATAATTGTTGTACCCTATTTTAGCTATACTACGTAACGACCTACAATTCAGTACAATGTATTATCCGTATACAATAGTATCTTGTTCGTTTACTACGTGTTTACAATAAGAAACTCTTTAAAACTTAAAATTTCTTTATTTTCTATTTATCCCTTACATGTTCTTATCGAGCTGAAAATAGACTCATCTTTAGTAACGCATATACGTCACGAAGCATGCGTTAAAATAAAAATTACATTTTTGTATTTATATTTTATGTATAATAAAACTGTGAAAGACATGCCTATCTGCGAAAATAATGTTTGAAATTGTTTGTGAATATGAATGTTTTTTATGGTTTTTTTTTAAATAAATAAGAACTATTTCCCGGTAGAACATGTATGACTTAGATAAACGATAGTTTGTCAATCATTTATCAACTTTCTTCACACATGGAATGGGTTTTGATTCTTCATCTCACTAAAGTTCGCATAGGCGTCTTTGACTTACCCATTACATTGGCCGCTTCCATAAGTAAGTGCAAGTCATATTTAAAAAAGAATATTACTCATTTTGAAAACTAAACTAGTTAAGGTATTTGTCTCAAAGTGCAGAAAAGGTGAAATAAAAATGTTTGGAGCGGGGATTGTCATATTGCACCCAAAATGGAGCTTCGATGTCTTTATTAGTCATCATGTACTTTGAACATGCATTTGCAATAAGGAAAAGAGACAATCCTGAAATGTGGACCGCATACTTATCGACATAGAGGGGCCATATGAAATCTGATTGACAGTTTTGAATACCTCTTTGATTCAGTAAATATGTTTAACTTAGCAAATGTCATTTGGAATTTTGCAACACCAGAGGTTAGTCAAAATTATCTTTCCTGTCTTGGCGCCATATTATTCTGCGGCGGTGCGCCGTAAAACCAAATAAACAATAATTCATAGCCATTGTGTTTGTTGGAACTTTATTCATTTTCTGCCAAAGCTTTTCTTTGTTTTATGCAAACTAATCTCTGATAATATCAGTCCAGTCTGTCCATTATTCCAGTGAACATTCGAAATATTCATTTCTGTTTAAGGATGTGCTAAATGGCGTAGAACTTTTCAGCCGAAAATTATCTATGAAACCTTGCCATTGTAATATTTGCCGTTGTAGTTTGCATACTTAGGGATTCTGATTTTTTTTTCTCTATAATAAACTATCTTATCTTATCTCTATTCTTTGGAACTTGCAAATCACTAATTTGATAAATACATACCCAATATTATTACAAATCCAGAAATAGAACGCTCTGACTTTCTCAATATCTGTCTTACATGGTCCAGTCAGGTAGGCACCAAGTGTTTTCACATTCCTTGCAGCATCTACTGGGGTCTGAAATCATTAATAACAATGTCACCAACTATATAATTATCGTAATTAAAATATACAATACGCGTTTTAACTAGTGACGTCTAAAATATTGAATGGTTGTGAGTTTGTACTATTTATATTGTTTTAATTTTTAATTACAAATTTTCACAAAATTGGTATGAACATTGTTTTTATTTGTTTCTTTTGATTTATTTTTATGACAAAATGTACAGTCAGGGGAGAGGATTTATAAAGAACATTATTATTATATTCATTTTTTTTATATTTATTATTATGTTCAATAAATATTAAACTATTATATATGAAGGTGTAAACGAATTATACGGTCTCTGTATTTTGCATTTTGTCAACAGTCCTACATCGATATTGTGTTTATATAAAAACCGTGTTCCATTCATCTTAATATCGTCATTCTATTTACAAAATCTAAGTGAATTAAGTGCGAATTAATCTAAACAAGCTATAAGTACATGTAAATAAAACAGTGATCGCGATGCGAGACACGCAATGCTTAAACTTATAAATAAACACTTAAGTTGTTTTGACTAAATTTACAGGAAGAGAAGGGCTAGACAAAAAGAGATCAAGGTAAAATTTTGACGTAAGCGGGAGGGAATGTGAACAATAACTTTTCATCTATGCCTTATACAAAAGGCGGTTGCGTTCGTGTTGCGTAACCTTTTGTAAACATTTTATTAAAGCACACTTTGTTGACTTATATAATATAATACTTCATGCGGATGCTGATTAGCCAACCAATCGAAATTTTACGTACTAAATGATTTTCTTTTAATATATAAGCATCACCTACCGATGTGTGTTGGGCTTGGTTCATAGAGGAATCTGCTTCCGGACCAGACCTTCGAACCGGTTCTTTAATCTAAGAGCAAACATAAAAATACGAGGTTCAAATGTGTGTACAAAATTGATGTTAGATTATTATTGAATTGATGAACATTATAATCTAAATTCCGTTTACATTCTCCAATAAAATGAATTCCAAAGTGTCACCAGTCGCTTGGTGATGTTATTTTTGTAAATTTCTGTATAAAAGGCGGTGATCAGGATTATCTAACTCTTTTTCAACGCGACGATTACTCGATTTTATATAACACAGAATGTGCCGATATATACCGAATGATAACAAATTATATGTATTTAGACAACAAACTGTTTGAATGCTTCAAAAAATTGAAGAGAAATATTATTTTTGTACGGAACCTCGTATTTCTATGTGCTCTTAATTTTTTTGTGTGTGTCATCATTTTTGTCTTTACACGTTAATTAAAGGAGCGTTTATTATAACAATTATAACATCCTGATATAAGATAAAGGGCTAAATATCAATCATTGAAGATGTGCTAAGGCAAAACAATAAATGCCTGAAGAAGATGTTCAAAAACAGTGCACAAAATATTAATTCAGTATGCCGTCCTTATCAGTTTCATAGATGAATAGATTACGTTCGGACGGACGGACGGATGAACGACCTGATTGTAATGGCATTTGGCAAAATAAATGATAAAGGTTATTTTGATTGCTTGATAGTTGAATAGATAGAAACATTTTTGATTTATATCATAATTTGTATTTTTTCTTCCTAGATTAATAAAAGTTTAAATTCTGTTGACACTGGTTTTACGGTAGCAAATTTTTATTTACCGTCAAAGGTTACAGATTACACAGCTGGGGCCGTTTTATCAAAGTTCTTTTAAATCTTGTTTTGTTTTTTCATTATCAACATCTTTGAACGCGTTTACGTATCTTTTTAAAAAAAAGATACACTTAATTGAAATTAACATCAAGTTGAACAAATTACATACGGAATTTTATAAGAAATATCTGCGGTTGATATGAGAAATATCTCCACGGGTATATTCGTTATGAGGGCGATATCTGATGAGAACACATGATAGGTTTCTGGGCGTTAATTGATATTTAAAAATTATATTCATGATGTTAAGTTCAACAAAGTGTGACGCATATTACTCTCACCTTTCTGACATGTTCGTCAACATGCATAAACATATATGGTGATGGAACCGCAACTTTTTTCTTCTCCCTAGGTGGTGCAGTTTTAGGTGTAATTTTTCTCGTTAGTTTCCCACCTCTCAGTCCGGAACAAAAGCATCCGCTAACGTTCTCCGAGTCCTCACCCTTGGGGTTACTCACATACACATCAACAGACGTGCAGCAACTCATTTCTGAAATAAATGTGGAACATATTGAACATTTTTGTTTGGTTTTGTTTGACGGCGCACGATCACAGTTTAGGTTATATGGCGCCGAAACAGGTAACCTCGGGGTTTAAAAACTTTAAGAAGCACCAGGGATAAAAACAACCCCAATTTCTTGAGCTATGAGATACATAAGTTCCAATAATTCTTACCCATTTAGTCACCTTTTACGATCACGCAGGGTTAACGGTGGCTGGCATTCTGATGTCTCAATCGGTAAATGCAACCCCTCAGTCACATGGGGTGACATATATGGAATCTTGGCTCCGGTTATGCTGATTTAAACATCGAAAGCATTCGCAATAATATTAGATTCATCTGGTTAGCATATTTAACACTAGATTTTGAATCAAGTCTTCAATAATGATGATCAATATCTAATTTGAAAAAAAAAATGTTTAAAACCTTGTAGACACAGACAACAGTGTAAATAAAGAAAGATAAAAGTTTCTTCATGCATTTATTTATAAAATGAAAGAAATGATAATAAAATATTGACAATAAACGTTATTAGTTTATTTGAAATCTATTAAAACAAACAGAAACTATCCAACCATTTAATAGATTTGTGTTATCCACCGTCGGAGACATAATTGTAGTTAGTCATGTGTTGGACCGTTCATCCGTATGTCCTGACGTATATAAGCAATTTCGTTTTAGAACATCTTCGAATAAAATATAATTTTGTCCTTGGGCAGCCATTGTCTCGCCATGGTGCGCTCGTGTTTGATATATCGAACAAGTAATGTTTTAACTGATAGACTTTCTTCATGAAAGTTCTGGTTGGTTTTGTTAACATTTCTTTTAAAGCTATCTATTTGTACAATTATTATAGACTTTAAAAAAAGCTTTTATTCTTTAAAAAAAGCCTTACCTCAATCGTTGTTATGTATAATGTCAAACAATCCTGCACGGCTTCATACGCATTGACTTCCAAACATTGTCACAAATCTCATTTTTTTGATGAAATAAAATAAAGAATAACTGAGATTATAGATATATGTTAACAATTATAGAAGTTTGCAAACATGGCGTATCGAAGACCAAAAATGAAATACAATATATTAACAATAGAAAGTTATCCATCGGAACAGTGGCTTTCTAAATTGAAAACATAACAGAACAAAAAGGTATTTTTACTCGAGTTAACTATAGAAAGAGAAAATATAGTTTTTAATAGCTTTGAAACAGTCAACATGTTTAAAACAAAAGAAAACGTAGCACCAATTGTCTTCGCTTTTCGAAAATATTTATTTGATACCACTGGCAGACAGTTTGATAAAAAAAATGAAAATAACAAATTTTGTAGTCTGTGTGTAAACATATTTTCAAATAAGCATGTTGAACAATTATTTGTGATATGGCTCTAGTACAAACTATTTTATATTTGATGCAATTGGGTGGAATTTATGGCTATTTTGTTACAATAATGGAATGATTATAATGAGTGAAAATACGTTTTACTATTTTAGATTCTTCAAAGGGAGATAACGCAGTATCCTATAGAAGATTACGGAAAGGTAAGAAAAACACCCGAGTGTCACGTAGAGTTATTTCCTGTAATTACACATGATAAGCGTTCCATCATATGTACATGTACATAATTGTGTATAAATAGTGTCTTTATTCGTTACACTTTTCATTCATAAATCATCATGACGAGTATTTTTTTTATAAAGCTTTTGTTTTGTTTATTGCAAATATGTTTTATTCTATGATGGGACTTTTCAATCTTCTTGTTCGTGTTGCCATTTTTATAAGGCAATAATATTGAGTATTAATATCATAATATAGGTAAAGTATAAGCGTTTCTGTGGTATGTTCAAAATAACTCAATATGATACACGCGTGTACGTTATTCAGTCTGAAACCCGAAAAGTATTATTATTATTATTATTATTATATTACGGCATGAACACATCGGTCCTGTTTCATCTGAAGAAAAATACATCCAGATGTTTGAAGAAAAATACAAACAAATGTATATTGCATTTATGTTACGTTCTCGTTAACTCTCATGCAAGCGTTAACATTCCATGTACATACTAGTCTACACGTATACATAACATAACATAACATAAATTTTATTTAACATAAAATTGTAAACATACAATTTATAGTCAAATCATATTCTGTATATAGTCAAAAGTGTTACAAGTTACAATTAGCCGTATGAACAAATGTTATGATATATATAACAGAGTTTGCATAAGAAATAATTATAAATGTAAGAAACAAATGTACTTTAACAAAGAAGAAAAAAATATTTGTTAACGTTGCCGAGAAGTATTGTTGACAAATATAAACAAAGGTTACGGCATAATTGCATAAAAAATACTTATACACAGTAGAACGAGATTTGTTCACGTGCTGATATACGTATACATGTACATTCATTCACGTGCTTGCTATCGCGTGCGGACGTAATATCTATCGCATGCGCACGTAATATCTATCGCGTGAGAACGTAATATCTATCGCGTGGACTTATAATAGATCTCACGTGCGCATGTAGTTACTAAAACATAAACTAAGCCCATATTGCCGACGTAAACATTACATCAGAGGCAGAATATGTTCGATCAGCAAAATTTGTTATTTGTTTTTCCATTTTTCTACATTTTGTCTGTACTACAACAAGAATACTTTGTGACATCCCAATGATATGTCGCCTGCTTTTTCGGTTAAAGTCCGTCTAAAATCAGTTTGACTTCCTGTAATATCTACAGGGAAGAACTAAATATAAAATATTGAAAATAAGAATCCCAAAAGAAATGCCAACACGGCACAATTGAAAATGTTACAGGCTTGGATTGCTTGAGCCTGACGGTAATGTTAAGTGCAAACTATCGTCCACGCCCCCCTAGCACCGGCTTAAGAAGAAATCAACATTTAACATGAACTGGTAGAATTTGAATTTTGAAAAATCCGCAGATGTGTTCATTTTGGCGGTTATCATGGAACTTTCAATGAGACACGGAAGTGTCATTCCATAAAAAAACAGCAAATGGTCCCCAAGTAAAAAAATGCGCGTGCGTCTGAAAAAGACGAATTTTCATTGATCATCTAAAAATTACAATATGAAATTTGGGAATATTTGACAGCTGTCATTGATAAGTAGGTTTCAAAATGCCATGCCCGGGAGTCACTGGCTTTCTGTAGACTAAGGTTTAGGAAAAAACATCTTTTTGTGGATAAATACTATGCCTCTATATTTGTCATATAGCATTTCCTAGTTGAATTCTTATAAAATTTTAATAAATCATTTTAATAATGAATGCCTTCACCTTGTAGGTCTTACAGTATCATTACGAAAGTTAAAAAGATAAAACATTTTTCAGACAAGTTTCTTGATTGGGGTCTCTTCCCTATTTAAAATATTAGTTTTGATTACTCAACCAAATGCATATTCGGAGGAGTATATTGCACCGCCTTTGCAATGCTCTTGTTCAGTTTAAATGTTATCTTTTGTCTGTCACAGAAAGCCGGGACGTAGGATGCATAACACGTCAACCACTGCCGTCCATGAGGCCTTAAAATATGTTTAGGTTTTGTGCGACCTTTTGTAATTCATCTTTTGACTTTTTGATAGGCAATGTCATCGGTAATTATTATTTTGGTTCTTATTTATAACTCCATATATATCTAAATGAAATGTTGCAATTGTGGTTCCTGATGAATAAAACGCAATTACTTACGTCTTTTTTCTAATATCTTTACTAAAACGTTACACATCAATCTCACTAAGTCCATTTCTACTTACTTCTTTTATGCATAGCGTTATATAGGAGTTGATTTTAATAATCTGTAGAATGGTTTAATCAAAAGAATGTTTTGTTTTTTTTTCAACATGACAAAAGTCATACTCGAGAGCCTGCTGGTCCCCATGTGCTTGAATGGTAATGGTAGCTAACATCAAATCACTTGTCTCACACCGCGGTAGATCCGAAGCACTCCAGTGACTTTAGATTCTTGCATGTGAGCAAGTTGCCCATGTAACTGGTCGGTGGTTCGACTTACATGTAATCAGTAACCGACTTGTGCCTGAAATAATTCAATGGGGGTAGGGATGAGGTGTCCCTCCCCCATTAATTTTGGAACGTTGCTATATGTGACTTAAACATACAAAAAAAAGAAACTACACACACACACACTTTGAAGTAAACTCGGATCTGTTATGTTGTATTTTTTTCCATATCACTTATTCCTCGTTTTAATTATTTGTGCAAGGACCTCATATGAATATGCATGTAAGCTGAGTCACTAACTTCCATATGGTATCGCACTTACCACCGCACCGTATTAATTGTTGATGATAGAGAACGATACTATCTTATGAATCCCTAAAAGTAATTGAGTATTGCCATTCAATAAATTAGTAATTGATTTTAAAGAATGTTTGTGCGTTTGTCATCTTCCAGTGAGTATGTATATCAATTTTAGGCATTGCTTAGTTTTTTGCAACTTTTTTCTGTACTTCTATAAGAGAAAAGAGAAATACGGGATAGAATGTGTACAAAAGGCTAATAGTGTCAAATGAAATAAAAAAAAAATACAAAGGCGTTATAACGCGAATAAAGGCGTTATTACGCGAATCAAAAGGCGTAAGAACGCGAATAAAGGCGTTATAACGCGAATCAAAAGGCGTAATTACGCAAATCAAAAGGCGTAATAACGCGAAAAAAGGCGTAGCAACGCAAATAAAGGCGTAGCAACGCGAATAAAGGCGTAGTAACGCGAATCAAAAGGCGTAATAACGCGAATCAAAAGGCGTAATAACGCGAATAAAGGCGTAATAACGCGAATCAAAAGGCGTAATAACGCGAATAAAAGCGTTATAACGCGAAATGAAAGGCGTAATAACGCAAATCAAAAGGCGTAGTAACGCGAATAAAGGCGTTGTAACGCGAACCAAAAGGCGTACTAACGCCAATTAAAACGAATTATAATGCCAATTTAATACCATATTTATACTAATCAAATGGCCTGGTAACGTAAGAAAGCAAGACCAATATTGATCTGAATTTATTCCTCAAGATATAAACTCGTATAGAATAATATAATATATATTTACAATAACTAACATTCCATTTGCGCAGTAATAATGCAAACTATTTGTCATAAACTAATGAAGACTCTTTAATATTTGCCAATTTAAGGTGTCTGGGTGCCTTATAGGTCCATTGGACTGGACGTAAATACAGTTAATCTGAATTCACATGTATCATATATTGCTTTTACACATGTCACTATAGTAAATGAATTTCTTTTCTTTTCTTATCTTATCTTATCTTATCTTATATGTGCGTCATATGTTCAATTATCTTCGGATATATCCTATTTGATTACCTTATAACATCTAGTATCTTCTAATTATGTGAATGCCATTCCTAATTAAGCTATAGGTAATATGCTATAGGTAACAAGATTTGGGAAAACGTAAGGTATAAGTTAGTCACATTAGGGTGATTATTGATAAGTATGTTTAAATGGGGGATAGTGTTTCAGTTAAGTCACAATTATAGGAGACATTCCCTTCTTTGTCTATGTAGAAAAGTATCTATAGTTGGGTGAAAGTTAACCTTTAATCTGACGAAAGCATTTCCTAATAAAAGATTTAAAAAATCAGACTGTGGCCTTAGGACGTATCCGTACAGAATTGAAAATAAAACGTACGTCTTGATCGATTTATTTAGATCAAATTGTTCTTCCTATCTTACATTACTAGGCCACGGTTTGGAATTTATATGGTATTAAATTAGCGTTATAACGCCTTTTGTTTTGCGTTATTATGCCTTTTGGTTCGCGTTATTACGCCTTTTGATTCGCGTTATAACGCCTTTATTCACGTTATTACGCCTTTTGATTCGCGTTATAACGCCTTTATTCGCGTAATTACGCCTTTTGATTCGCGTTATAACGCCTTTATTCGCGTTAGTACGCCTTTTGATTCGCGTTATAACGCTTTTATTCGCGTAATTACGCCTTTTGTTTCGCGTTATAACGCGAATAAAGGCGTTACTACGCCTTTTGTTTCGCGTTATAACGCCTTAATTCGCGTTATTACGCCTTTTGATTCGCGTTATAACGCGAATAAAGGCGTTATTACGCCTTTTGTTTCGCGTTATAACGCGAATAAAGGCGTTACTACGCCTTTTGTTTCGCGTTATAACGCCTTTATTCGCGTTATTAC